TAGTCTCTCATGGTTCATCTCCCCCTCTAATATCCCCCTGCTTTTTAAATTTTAAGTTTGTTGTTTCGGCCAGTTTGTGACATCTCTTTTAAACAGACAGGAAGCATTTTTTTTTTCTCCCTTTCTTTGCCAGGGCAATCCTGAAAGTGTGCCCGTGGGAGGGGATCATGGTCATCTCCCAGGTCCTTGCGCTAAGCGTGGAGGGTCCTTCTCAAACACTCTTCTGTACAGGGCCATAACTAAGACAGGCAGAGAGGCTCCGCCCCGGCTCCTCAGACATCCATCTCTTGAAATCTGATCAAAGAGAGCAAAGGCTTAATTCCAATGCAGAGCTTTGGTTTCCAGCCCAGAGGCCCTTCTCTGACAACCTTACTCTAAAATAGTAACAGACACACAGGATTTGGTGTCAGAAGACCCATGTGTCAGACCTAAAATTCGAATAGGAGAGAGATTTAGGTGAAAGGGCATAAGTAAACTATGGCAGAGGCGGTTAAAAAAGATGATGTATAAAAAAAAATCTTTTAACTCATAATAATAATATCATTATTGCTCTTGTTATAACAACTTCTTAAAATAACATACCCATGAAACAAGCTGTAGGTGCATTATTTAATGTATTTAACTTGGGCCTTCTACACCATGCAAATAAAGAGAATATTAGTTGCCATCATCCACAATCAATATTTCTTTTTTTAATTCTCCATAACCCTCCTGTTGCCTTGGATCGCAACATCACATTTATGTAGAAAAATGAACCCCAAATTTCCCACCACAGCCTAAAGACATCTAAAATCACAACTCCCTTCCGTGTTATAGGTTCCCCTTGTCTTTAAAGTTTTGCCATATAATGTGAGCCACAGCATTGCAATCCTGTGTCATAATTTCAAAGATTTTCATGATGCCAGTCTACCCCATCTGCTCAAAGAAATTTATCGTCCTGAATTCCTCCTACCTCATAATGTCTCTCAGGAGCAAGTTGACTTCCACTGAGAATGATCTGTGGGAAAACATAATGTGTTGCAAATGTGCCACTAAGGGAGAATTCTTCAAACTTGGTAAAAGCTGACCCCACCGGCTCCCCACAAGTTCTCAGGTCAATGGTTTGACACTTCAGTAATGTGCATATCTATGGAGGCAAAGGAGAGACAGAGGTGGTCAGAAATCTTGGAAATATTTTCTCCACAAGAGACACAATCTCAAGGAATAGAGGAAAATTTGTTAGGTTGCACTTGTCAGGGAGAAAGAATTTCCTGTCCCCTTCATGGTCCTTCTATCCAGACTAAGAACTGCGTTGACATGAGACAGATTAATAGGAGAAAGTCAAATTTAATTTTGTGCTTACGGGGAATCCACACAGACATGGAAATTCCAAAGGCAGTCAGGCCAAATGAGGTACATATGTCATTCTGAAGTAAGGAGAAAGGTTTAAGGGTCTGAGACTTGAAAGAGAAAGAATGCAATTCACAGGAAGATGGAAAAGAACAAACATTTGGTAAACAAATGTTTGCTGAGCCACTCGGAAACAAAAGGACATAGACAACTTTGTTCAAATAGGCCTTGTGAGGGGTTCCTCCCTGTCTGCCACTCCTACTTCATGTCATGACATAGTTATCTATTGTGATAGATCTCCTGGAGCAGATCCTCTATCTCAATTCTTTTTAGGCAGTTGTGGGGGAAGTAAGGAGCTTTTTCTGAATCTGCCGGCTTTTGACTGCTTTGCATCTCACAATAATCTTCATGACAAAGTGGCTCATCATGGGGTGGCCTGCCTTTGTTCCCTGCACCACTGAAGCAGTCTTTCCAAACTACAGGTCATTAGTGAATCCTAAAATCAATTCAATGGGTCAAGATTAAGTTTTTTTTTTTTTTTTTTTAATAAAGTGAAAAGCAATAAACTAGGTTTTAAAAGTCAGAGTACCATTGCTCATAATTAGAACTATTTCTTTTTTTTTATTTTATTACTTTTTAAAGACTATTTATTTATTTGTCAGAGAGAGAGAGAGCACAAAGCAGGGGGAGCGGCAGGCAGAGGGAGAGGCAGACTCTCCACTGAGCAGGGAGCCCAATGCGGGGCTCCATCCCAGGACCCTGGGATCATGACCTGAGCAGACGCTTAACCGACTGAGCTACCCAGGCGTCCCTAGAGGTATTTCTGATGAAGGATAGTTGGAAGGCAGGCAGGCAGGGAGAAGGGCCTCGCCCTAAGGGGAAACCACACTTAAGAGGATTTTACACCGGAAGGAGCCCTCCATCCTTTCCCATGTGACAAAAACCTGATTGGATGACAGGTGCAGGGAGGATTAATCAGACTAAAACAGCCCACCAACAATCCTATAAAAACCCCTAGACTTAGAAACACCCGTGGCAACCTTTTCGGGTCCCTTCATTCCTCTGGAGCTTTGTACTATCACTTTGCTATCACTCAATAAACCTTACTTTGCTGCCCATCACTCTGTCTGGTCTACCTCTTCTTCAATCTTCAAAGCAACACGACCAAGAACACCGGGCACCGATGGAAAAAAATCCTGTAACATTTCTAATTCTAACTTGAATCGATTAATAAAATATTTGTTTAAAGCAAATCTATTATAATTCAGTCACACATCTTTACTGCACTGCATCATGGTGGGAAATGATATTCTTATTCTGGATGCCAGTTGAAGGCAGTTTGGAACACACAGCTCTAAAGCCACCTGACACAAAACGAGAATGCAAGGAAGTTGCAGCTTTTTAAACTTGAATCCGGCTGGCCAAGAACGAATCAATCTGCTTTATGTTTTACTTTGCCGCCAAGAGAACTAATTCTGTTCTTGCTAAAACTAAAACAAATAAAGCATTCCGTGGGGGAAAATTTCAGTAATCAATGTTAGCATTATACCAATTAATTGAATCCAGCACAATTTTTAAAGAAATGCAGTGATGGTCTAGTAAAATTAAAAAAAAAAAAAACTAATAAAAAAATCCATTCTAACACACGGAAGCAATTTTTACCTGTAAGAAATATTGACCTTCTACTGTGTGCAGTCCATCAAAAGCACCTAGTGCATACATCTCATCTGTTCGCTTCTCAGACATCTAGTAAGTTAAGTGACAACACAGGTCTTTCTGGCAAACTGTGTAATTTCCCGTGTTTCTCTTAAGCCCAACAAAGGTGAGCCCATCAAAATAAATCATTCCTGGAAAATCTGACTGCTCAGACAAGATGGCTTGATGCTCCTGGCATAAGCACTCCAGTCAACAGCTGCAGAGTAGCTGGGTTCTCTACAGGGCCGGGACTTCAATTCTGAAAGCATCAGCTGGGCCCTCTCTGTTTCCATGTCATAGTGATACCCTTGGACAGCTTCCGGTATATAGATTCCACTCCCTACAGAAGTGGACACAAAGTCGCACAAATATTGGTTCCAAACTTTGCATGGTCTCAAACCAATGGAATCATTCCCATGAGAAACTAGATATAACTTTATCAAAGCATAAGCACTTTCAGGATAATCAAGGAGATAGCTTGTTACACTGACATAGTTCCAATCTGACTCCGTGTCCTCCATAATTATCTGAAATTATCAATTGACTTGGGCGGCTTCTCTTTTTTACGTAAACCCCCATTTATGCCAACTTAACAACAACTAGAAAATTCAAAACTGTCCTAATGGGGGTACCTAGCTGGCTCAGTTGGTAGAGCTTGAGGCTCTTAATCTCTGCATCATGAGGTCAAGCCCCATGTTGGGCACAGAGCTTACTTGAATTAAAAAAGAAAAGGAAAGTCCTAATGGAATGAATGACTGACTAAAGCTTCATATAAAATGTTAACGAATTGAGCCAGAAAACTAACCCTGGTATTAAATCATGGATGAAACAGTATGTCACCTTCTTTCTCAGAAACTATTAAAATCCTTGTGAGACTATTATCCCATTGTTTCAATATTCTGCCATATTCTATTTTACGATTAATTCAAACTCAGAACCCTTATATGAGACCAAAGTAAATGAAAGCCCCTGTTCAACTAAAACATAAGAATTAAGAAATGTATTCATTACGATTGTCTCACCCACATTCAACAGATGAGTCTACACCCATACCGCAGAAAAACAAAAGAAATTCTCACCTTATGGTAATGTGCCACCAGTTTTCCCTGAGAATCAAACACCACATCGGTGTTGTACTGGTAACAACCACGGGGGGGACACTGAGGGTCACTGGCATTATATGACTTCTTGTCCCCAATATTTGCCACAATGTAGATAGAGTTGTCCTTGGCCAGGCAGCTGAGCTTTTCTTGCACCAGGGTGTAGCCAAACCTAATTTAATAGATATTGCCTTAAACTCACTATATTTAAGTGATTCCTAATCTTCCAAAATGATACTTTATTTGCCTGTTAGAACACAAGCTCTAGGTTAAGAATCAAATCAGAGAAGACCTAAAATTTCACAAGCAATATAATCTTCATCTTTATGAAAACTAATCTTTTGTTTATTTTTTATTGAAGTATAATTGACACACAATATTACAGTGGTTTTAGGTGTAAAAAAATAATATAATGATTGGACTCTATACATTATGCCGTGCTCACCACAAGGGCAGTTACATCTGTCACCATACAACTCTATCACAATACCATTGACTATATTCCTTATGCTGTGCCTTTTATTCCATGACTTATTCATTCCATAACTGGAAGGCTGTACCTCCCACTCTCCTTCACCCAATTTGCCCAGCCCCCGCCTCCCCTGAAAGCTAATCTATTTTAATGTGCCAGACTCTCAACTGCAGTGTGAGACTGAAGCACAGAAAAGAAGGTGGAGGAAGAGGAGAAAGAAGAGAAGCAAAGCTTTCTCTCATAAAGTGCTTTCAGGCAGTTAAATGAAGGACTTGAACTATAACATGCTCTTCTTCTCTCTTTTTTTTTAAGATTTTATTTATTTATTTGAGAGAGAGAGAGAGCAGGGGGAGGGGCAGAGGGAGAGAGAGAGAGAGAGAATCTCAAGCAGACTCCCCGCAGAGCACGGAGCCCAACTCAGGGCTCAACCCCACAACCCCAAGATGATGACCTGAGTGGAAACCAAGAGTCAGATGCTCAACTGACTGAGCCACCCAGGCACCTAACACACTCTTCTAATGAGGAGGACCTTTCTTTAATTCAAGCCATAGTCTTACTAGGAAGCAATAAATAGTTGGTTCTATGTCAATCATCTTCTATAGGGGACAAATGCAACATTATGTACTTGAAATATTTCAGGAAGGAAGGAACGGAGGGAGGGTGGGAGGGAGGGAGGGAGGGAGGTAAAAGAGAGGGAGAAAAGGGCTTCACTATGCTGGCTCAGTTTCCTCATCTGTCAGTACAACATAATAGCTTCCTTCCTGCCTTAGAGGGTGCTCATGAGAAACCCCAAGATAAATACATACTATGAAATTGCTTCTCAAAGTAGTGCCAAATCCATCTACATTGGGGGCAATATCCAAGAAATAAGAAGGGATTGAGGTGATGAAACAGGTGGAATGATAAGTGGTTTCAAATATCTGAAAAGGCTCTAATCTGAAGGTGAGCCATATGTACGAACATATAATAAAGTCAGCACAAAGACTAAAGTTATAGAGACAGATATGCAGAAAAGATAAAAATTTTAGCAACCAGATCATTCTGTCAAAGGAGTGGATTGACTGGTCACTGGTAATTTCAAATATAATATGGCACATCCAGGCACTCAGAGTCTATTCAGTTACAGGGTTCAAATGGAAATTAACTGTCCGTGTTTGAATTCCTGCCATGATAATTACCAATATGAGACCTTAAGCCTCCTTCTTTCCCTGATACTTAAAATGGAAATAGTTATACTTGCCACAATAAATTGAATGAGATAATATGTATAGTGGTACAGTTCCTGGAACCAAGTAGGTACTCAATAAAAAAATAATGACGAATATGGATTTTTGTAACTACAAGAGGACAACCCAGGAAACTGATGGATTTACTGCTTTTAGAAGCCATTGGGCTCAGAGAGGAGGAGCAAGACGGCGGAGGAGTAGGAGACCTGGATTTCGTCTGGTCTCAGGAATTCAGCTGAATAGGGATCAAACCATTCTGAACACCTACGAACT